GACGGTTTATGGCAGGGTTAGGGGCTGAATGCGACTCTGACGAGTTGCAGGCTTCATTGTTTACGACCAGACGTCGCCATCTTGAAGAACAAGGGACTATGTCCTGAAGGGTCTGCCCATGGAATGGAGAGGAGGACACCCAAGAACCTTTAAAAAACTCGATCGTCAATTACATTATACTTCCAATAGTCTGATAAAAAATGTTTCAGACAAGAGTCAATCAGTTTCTGATCAGCTGCAAGAGATCAAGGTTATCTTCATTTTTTTAAATCTCATTGCATATTTTTTCTTTATATTATTATAACTCGTGTCAAGACGAATTCAACGACCTGGTATACCATGACCTTCGAATGACCTTGACTTTAGAAATTTAGGTTTAATCTTTAATTTATGTTTAATTAGGTATTATAGCTACAAACTGGTACACTTAGACGACTGAAATTTTGCTCACAAGAAAATGATTTACAATTCGAGCACTTATTGTAAATTAATTCAAATAAAATAATTTTCACTATTAACGATTCTATTAATTAAACCTAAATTTCTGACTAATTGTTCATGATATACCGAGTCTTTAAATTCGTCATAACGGGCTACACTAATACAAAGCAAAAAATATGCAATGCCATTTTAAAACAATGAAAATGACCTTGATTTTTTACAATAAAAAAATTTTCTTTGACATTCTTTATATCTGAACTTGCACCTGGCAAGAAACTGATTAACTTTAAAGAAAAATAAATCTAGATAGGATTAATACATTACACTAATATTCTTGATTAATACATAAACAATTACAAGTAACATTCTCCTCTCTGTTTTAATTCATCTAGTACTCTTTAACACTTTTTACTTCCACGTTCCTATCTACATTTTCACGCTATTTCAGCTCCTCGCCTACCACACATACATACATACACATCATTGCTAACTTACAGGAAGATTATTCCACGACGCCAACAAAGATTTCGCACCCGGTAACCCGATACGCGAATCCAGACGCCATGTTTACGGTAATGGCGCGATGGCGGCGATCAGGAGAACTATAAAGCATCCCCGGGTCGACAGCAGGGTGGTTTCACCCTCCGATCGTGGCTCAACGCGGACGCAATCACCTACCCAGCTACTCGTCGATGCATCTCCGTCCCCGCATGCTCGCCTGGCAAGGTGGCGGGCACCGGCGACGCTTCGTCCCTCGAAAGGAACCGATAAAAACCTCCGCAGCATCTTTTTCTCCAACCGACTTTCAACGAGCAGACCGACTGGAGACAGGGCAGAGAGACCTTGGACCCCCTGCGTTCAGCCACTTAAGCAACCGGCGTCTCACTGCGGCCAGGATCCTATGGCGAACGAGGGGGTTCGCGACCGATGTCGCAGGGTTCCGCCGCGCGATTTATGATGTCTTTTTACCCCTCCTATATACACCCTTATTTCGTTTTTCTTCGATCTCTCTTTTTTATTCGACTTTCCTTGGCCGCCTCGAACCGTGCACACGCACACCGATCCCCCGGGTTATCGATCTCTGCCGATGATGGCTGACAGCGCCAGCGCGCCACCCCCGTCGCGCGCATAACCGACCCGCGTCCCGACGCGCGCAACGCCCGTCAACCCCCTTCGCGATTACTAATTTCAGTTTTACTCGTTTCTCCGTTGAATCGCGGACACGACGATATATTTATTTACGCTTCGTACATTCCTTGAAACGAGGATGTTGAAAAGAAGCCTTTCGTCCAGGGTCGTTGGATCTGGACACTTGCTATGCAAGTTGTCGATCTTTCAACTATTGCAACTTTGCGAGCGAAGGTCGAACAACTTCTTGGGGTCATTTTTAGGTTGAATTTTCTCTCAGGTCCCTTTTACACAAGGAAGAGAGAGTACAATGTACATTATTTCTTATGCAACTGAAATCACTATTTAAAGATTACCTCCATGAATGTTGATATCTCAGACTTCTTTGCTGTTTTATTTGAACGAGGAAGCTATATTATGTGAAATTCTGGGATTGCGTTAAAATATGATCAAAGACCGAGTTAGAAGATTAAATAGCGAGTGAAAGCTTGCATAAATGAAATGATCGAAAGGTTCAGCTGGTGAAAACTACCCCCGAGAGGCGGCCAGGTTCCTTTTCTGTGCTCCTGTTGTAAAAAGCCTCGAGCCATCCCAAATCGAAGCCCGTTTGACCGCGAAGCCCACACCATCCCTGCTGGGGCGAGCCAAAGGGTACATTTTTCGAGTACTCGGTACCTTTCTCGATGGTATGAGCCACTGATCCGACATTCCTTCTTTCGACTGCCGACGAGACTTCAGAACCTGACGAGTCTGTGAGAGACAACGACATTGGGGAGCCATCCTCCGATGAGACGATGCAACCGTAGACGCCTGGTACGCGAAAATGATAAAAGAGAAACCGAATCGAGAGAGGTCGACGAAAACGGGAAACGGTACGCGAATTATGAAAGAAGGTGAAAGGTGAAAGAGATCAACTCGACGTCATGGAAACCTGATACGCAGAAACTGAAGATCATCTCGACGCGAGGTTCAAGTATAGTGCAACCGGTGCATCCTTTTTGTACCACGAGATAATTTTTAAACGAGAAATCAGAAATTAGATCTGAGATTTACTTTGCACAGTTACACCTGACGAGTCTCGATCAATTTTTTGATCATCCATTTTATCAAATTTGAGAGGTCATTAGAAGGTTTTTGAGTAGTTCTTTTGCTAGGGAGCTGAGAGACTTTTATGAAGTTGTGTAAAATATAGATGGGATAGAAAATTCATTTGTTTCGGTGTTGAGAACACTGTCAAAACTCTGAGTATCAAGAAAAAAAAAAAAATAAATTTCAATATATTATTAATGGTTAATATAACCCAGACCTAACCAAGACCTAAATTAGACCTAATCCAGACCTAACCCAGATCTAATCTAGATCTAACCCAGACCTAACCCAGATCTAAATTAGACCTAATCCAGACCTAACCCAGATCTAAATTAGACCTAATCCAGACCTAACCCAGATCTAATCTAGATCTAACCCAGACCTAACCCAGATCTAATCTAGATCTAACCCAGACCTAACCCAGATCTAATCTAGATCTAATCCAGACCTAACCCAGATCTAATCTAGACCTAATCCAGACTTAACCCTGCTCCAATCGATTCGATAGAGTGAACGAAAGGGAAGTGGCAGAACTGGTCCAGGGAAACGACTTGCAAGATGAAATGGACACCAGCTGCCCTTCCATGCGAGCCTGGTCCAAAGATGTTGAAGATCATCTCGAGAAACGGCCCACTGTCGCAGCATCTCGATCATCTCTCCTGGCATCTTCGAGATCATTTAATTGCCCGACATCTTTCCGCGAAGTCGAGCAACAGAGATTGGCGCGGAAATTTAAGCGTCGCGTTTTCCTCATCCTCATCTCAATGCCCTCGTGGAACATCAGTACGATTAATATTAATAACACTGTAAATTAACATGCTAGAATCTATAGAAACCTACATAACACACTTGCTATACAAAGTATCGATATTATATTAATAAAGACGATGACTCCGTCGACTCGTTGCAAATAAAATTAAATACCAGTACTTTATAATGATATAGGTAAGAATGTAAAACAGTCTTTCGACAATATTCGAGTGAAAGATATTTTAAGATTAACTTTCAACCTTTTGTTTGAATGCCTTGAAAGTAGTCAAGGGCTGAGCTTGACTCTGATGAAAGTTGATTGTTAATTATGGTTTGCTCGAGTGGAGTGAACAAGATCTTCGTCCTGAAGGATCACTGTGTGAAGAGACATAGCGTTTGTAGACACGAGTTCTTGACAGATTTCTGTTTGAAGTGTTATTGATTCGACGAGAGCACGTGGTTCGTGGCTCGTGGCTGGAGGTCTCCTCGCGTTTCTGGTATCCTGGTACAAACGAAGCACAAAAGTGAGTGGTGAACAAATGGTAGATCGACGATGGCAACGTGGTAACGATTAGAAGAAAGAAAGCGAATGGTCAGTTCGTGGAATCGTTAAGATGGCGGGTCCTCCGCTTCTTTCGCGTCCCCGAGGCTAACGGTAATTCCACGGACGCCTCGTAACCTCTGTCGCCAGGCTATTGGTCGATGCATGATCGAACGGAGCTTCCTGCAAACTTATGCGATCTTGGTAAACACGGGACAGGAATGCGAGTGGTGAACCAATAGCCGAGGACGAAGCGAGACGAGAAGAACGCAAATGGTGCTCGATGAATGAAAGACGCGACCCAGTGGCTCTCTATGCGTCAGAACACATTTTGGGAACTTCCTTTTCAATTATTTAAACCAATATTTTGGTGAATCGTTTCGTAAAACCTAGAAACGAATAGAACATTTTCAAATATTTCAAAAACATGGTAGAAGGATAACTGGAAGTTTAAGGTCGATAAAAAAGTATCTGGAGTTATTTATCATCCTGAATTAACCCTTTGCACTCCAAATTATATTCCAATTTTGTTACCAGAGGCTCCCAATATGAATTTAAGTGTCTTGTTTGAAACATTCCTGTTAAAATAAGTGTTTCATTTACACTGTTGTTGCATTTTGTAACTTTCAAGCGTTATCTGTTTGGGTTGGACTTGAAAAAATGTCGAATGAGACTGAATAATAATTGATGGTAGAAGGATATCCAACTGGAAGTTTAAGGTCGATAAAAAAATATCTGGAGTTATTTATCATTCTGCATTAACCCTTTGCACTCCAAATTATACTCCAATTTTGTTACCAGAGGCTCCCAATATGAATTTAAGTGTCTTGTTTGAAACTTTCCTGTTAAAATAAGTGTTTCATTTACACTGTTGTTGCATTTTGTAACTTTCAAGCGTTATCTGTTTGGTTTGGACTTGAAAAAATGTCGAATGAGACTTGTTAAACATCGAAGTTTAAAATTCAAAAAGAGATATGTTTTAATGGTAAAAAAAGAGAGGAATTAAACAAGGAATAAGAATTAGCATAAATTTTTATAATGCAGTTGTATTCTACAATGTTTTGGTATGAATATAAGTATCATATCTGCTTTTTGGTTATACCTACCTTATTTGGTAAATTATATCACACATTTTCTGGAAGTATATTTTTATACTTCCTTTTCCAGTAATTATGCCTATCTTGCATGAGATTATTCTCCATTTTTAATTCTTGGTTGATGTTGAGGTAACTATCGTCGTTTCCTCTTGGTTCCCAATTCACTGTAATATCGTCGTCCATTTTCGAAGTTGGGTTTCTGAAAGAACAATGATCAATAGGCTGATAAAACCATAAAAAGTTATAAATCATAAGAAACCATAGAAAGTTATTAAAAATGATGTCAACATTGACGATTGTTACCAACCTGTCTTTAGCAAAATTAGTCCACAATTTAGTCATAATGTTCGTCATCTTCTCCACAGAGGAGTCCGGTTCAGGCAGATTTTTAAAGGCGGTTGAGTAAAACAAATAATTCAGTTCATCGCCGTGCGCAACCCCCGCCGTTCCTGCAATAAAAACAAACAAACATATACCATTTTTTACATCATTTTCCTGTAATAACATCGATCTCACCATCGTTCATGCCAAAAATATTTCTCATATATCCAAGAGGGGCCTCGTAGGTGAACAGATATTCGTAAATCGGCGCTGTGTTTCGAGTCGCCAAGATGTCCAACGATAGTAATTGTCCCCCATTGTAGAAAACATCGCTTAACATCTAGAAAATGCAAACGAAATTAATGCAAAGCATATCGATCATCCTGATTCAGGCATTACCTTGCTGTATTCGTTTATATTATCCTTCGACACGTGCTTGTCTCCGTAATAGAATCTTCTCAAACATTCGCCGGATGCTCTTCTTATGTTTGAATCGGTGTAATTCAGATCGTTTGGCAGGAATAGCTCTGGCTCTGTGTTCAACGTTTCTATGCTGTCCAACATCACTGTTTAAATTAAAGAATACTTACTAATTATCACAAACATCTTAACACTTTACCGACCGATAGTCTATTAATCGACTGTTTTACCGGCTAACGCTTACCGACCGATAGCCTATTAATCAACTGTTTTATCGGCCGGCGTTTACCGACCGATAGCCGATTAATCAACCGCTACCGGTCGGTAAAGTGTTAAGGTACCATTTTAAACTGGTCTTCTCAACACTAATTAACAAATAATATCTGCAAAATAAATTTTTCTGGAACTTTCTAAGAACCAGAAATAAGCCAATTTATCAAATGGTTGCATAAGGAAATAAAAGTATAAAAACTTGGTATAATGGATATGAAGTTTCACGAGTGTAAAAGTCATGCTCAAACATGTTAACACTTTACCGACCGATAGCCTATTAATCGACTGTTTTACCGGCTAACGCTTACCGACTGATAGGCTATTAATCAACTGTTTTATCGGTCGGCGTTTACCGACTGATAGCCTATTAATCAACTGTTTTATCGGTCGGTAAAGTGTTAACAGTGGTAAATGGAAGGTTAAAAGTCGCCGCAATGCATACGTTGTGCAAAGAATTTAGACTCGTCAGCAACGGTTCCAGCCATCACTGGCACGTCAGCGATTTTTCCAGACTTCAGAAGGGTCCATGGATCGGTCGACAGAAATATATCCTGGCCCAAATCGACCTCCACCGATGGAACGAAAGCGTGCATGAATCCATTCAGTATGTTCTGTATTAAAACATCGAAAACCTTGTTTGAGCATATTTTACACATTTCACGATTAATTTAATCACGATGCCTTAAAAATAGCCTTGGTAGCCTGGGTAAATTATGAAAAATTGAAGAGATTCGAGTTGCAGAAATCCACTATCCTAAATTAAATTACTTCACCTGATTCTTCATGATCTCGTTCGACGCTTCGTAGATGTCTTTAACGTGAATTTCTGTCAATTTCTGCACCAATTCTGCGGTGTCTGTAGTCTGTATTCCTAGAGCCTCGCCTAACATAAAGGCCTGTTCTCTTGGATTGTACGCTATACTCCAAGGATTAACCACGCTTCCACTTTGCTCGATAACGCCGTTGAATAAGCCTAAAGTGTAACAGGAAGATGAGTATCGGGTCGTGATAGAGTTTAAACACAGATTCGGGCATGTTAAGAATTCAACAAGCTTTCAATACGAAGAGCATGTCTAATGAAACTCTTTGCTACCTTCTGACATGGGAGACAACATGTGATACTGAACAGAAGCTCCCCCAAAGCTCTGACCAAAGATAGTGACTCTATTTGGACAGCCCCCGAAGAAGTGTATGTTATCCTTCACCCACTTCAACGCCATAACCTGGTCTTTCATGCCAGCGTTCCCAGGAGCGTGTTTGTCTCCAGTGTTCAGGAATCCTAAAATACACACAGAAATAGATAGTATATCCATTTCAGAGCGATTCTATGAAACGTAAAGAGCTTCTCAGAAGCTTATCCTTCAGTTTACCTAGCACTCCAAGCCTGAAATTAACGGTGACGAGCACCACGTCGTTCTCGAGCAAGAAGTCCGGCCCAAAGAGCATGTCGTCGCCCAAGCCAGAGTCCCAGCCATCAGGATGAAACCATACCATAACTGCTTTACGAGCTTCCTTGTCCAGCGCTGGGGTGTACACGTTCAGATAGAGGCAATCCTCATCGCCGACAAGCCCGTTTTTGAATATGCAAAAGAAGGGACACGTGGAACGCTGTTTGGATGCGTCGTACACTCCCTCCCACGAGTCTGCTGGCTCTGGCATCTACACATTAGATTAGAGTGATTTATACTTGGATTTCGTTACCAGAAAACATGCTGAACTCATTGACAGTCTATCTAATGCTACAATTCCTAAAGTGGAGTCCAATTTATGAAGTTTTACTCTGTATTCTGTCGCTGATCATCATTGCAACAGTCAGCTCACAGACTACTGGTGAGTTTTACTTACTCGAAACTTATTAGGTCCAACATTTGGTGCCGCGTAAGGTATACCCTTGAAACTGTAGTATGCTTTATTGTGGAGGACAGTCTCCGTTTTCAGTCCCTTCAGCATACCCTGAGGGATCTCCAATTGGACGTCTTGGTCGGCATGTGCCCAGGCGAGCACGAAACCATAAAGGACCCACTTGTTCAGCCACATGTCGAAGACACCAACCTGCAAATAGTCGATTTCTGTATCCTAGCGTTGCTTTTATAGAGGCCACGAGCGATCTGAAAAACAACCAGTCGGAGGAACGGATTACGCAACCATGCGCGAGCGTGATACGCACAAGCATGGATTATCCACCCGGACAATTTCCCCGCTGTAATGAACAAAGATGATATTCGGATAGTTAAGTATCGGATATCCTGAAGTTATCCTAATCTTCGAATTATCCTCGTCGTGACTCGACGTGAACGTTTCCGGAATTATTCGACAAAACAGCCAGTGAAATCAAACGTCAAATAAATGTTTTCGCGATTAAAGCGAAAATTGCCGTGCATTATTCAGGGCTGCCATTAGACACGCATGCATGATTTACAGAAGCATCGGGACCGTGAAACTAGCTCGAATTAGGCGTGGAACCTTCGGGATCGAGAATTCTTACCGGAAAGGGAGACTTAAAATAATTTTTCTGGGGAAGTTTCAAAGATTGAAAGCTCAATTTTGCAATGATCCTCTTAAAGGTTGATTTTTGAATTTTTCTTGGTGTTTTATTTCACTTCGAATGTGGAAGCATTAAGCATTTCATTTTTCATGATTGTTGCTAATCACGGTCTTGAGCACAGTTAAATAAACAATTAGCTTCATTTTAAACACCATCGTCTCAGAGAATGCCCAAACAATTGCCAAATAAAAGATTCAAAATGATTATTTTTATAGTAGATTACCTTTTTCTCATTGAATATTAACACGTTGACTGCCAGTTTAAAATCCTGAAATTGTTAAATTGTTAAATCCTAACCTCGTTACAAATTTACGAAGCCTATTAAAATTGATTTTTTTTTAACATTTCAATTTGAGAATTCATTGTTTCAGTTTCACTGTTGAAAGTTCTGTGACCCATATGTGGGTCACGTGGCAGTCAAAGTGTTAAAGACAACTATTTTCCAAACAATATCGTTGATTGCATTTACAAGGCAAAAAATAAATTCAATCTCATTTGAAATCGACGACTTTCGTTCTATCACGTTGACTGTCTAAAAACTTTCATTTTAGGCAATTGTAAACTACTCAACTTAAAAATTGTCGTAATAGTTGCCTTTCTAACCTTGTTAAAATTTACGAAGCCTATTAAAATTGATTTTTTTTAACATTTCAACTTGAGAATTCATTGTTTTAGTTTCACTGTTGAAAGTTCTGTCACCCATATGTGGGTCACGTGGCAGTCAAAGTGTTAATGTTTTATCGATTGGAAATATTGGACACTGCATTCTACCAATCGAATATTAACACTAAATCTACCACGAACCGGTCAAAAGACCGTTTTTATAATTTTGTTTAGAATTTCTAACGCACAATGTTATTTTAGCGCACGATTTAACGTCACGATTTTTCTTATAGCATACGTACAATGAATTTTTCAATATTCACTTCTATTCTTATTGTTTATTTTCTGAGAAAAATATGTAGTCTCTTTCGCCTATAACGATCGGGCGTCTTATTTTGGCCTCTAGAATCTCCCATTAAAATTTGTCCCAGGAGTGGCCGAACACCCTGTATATAGTCCAGTATTCAGTTTCCATTGTCTTAAAACAGTTTAATAACGCGTCTTAAAAATAGTAAAACTTTAGACGCGTGCAGTTCCGAAACAACTAGGGACTTATTAATTATTAAGATATTGTTAGAAGCGGCAAGGCCTCCCCTTTAAAACGGTTTTTGGTTTTTGACGATCGGACTTACCGTTTTCGAGATATCGTAATTTATGTAAAAGGTAATTTTTTAAATTCCGCTGTCTCTCGCTTCCCCGTGTTAGACAAGGCTATTAACGCGTATTAAAAATAGTTAAACTTTAGACGCGTGCAGTTCCGAAACTACTAGGGTTTTCTTAATTATCGAACCACTGTTGGCAGCGGTGAACCTTCCCCTTTAAAACGGTTTTTGGTTTTTGTCGATCGGACTTACCGTTTTCGAGATATCGTAATTTATGTAAAGGGGTATTTTTTTTAATTTGACTATCGCTGTCTCCGTCTGACGCGTCGCGCCGGACCTCTTTGTCTCGCACGTGACACGTGACTAGCGTGGCCCAGTGACCTAGTTTCTCTCGGAGCACGTGCGGTCAACGACCTTGACCAGCGGAAAGTAAACAAACACTTCCGGACCCTATATCTCCGAAACTAGCCACCGCATCGACTTGAAACTAAAATCGCTATATCTCCGGAACTAATTACGCTATCGACTCGCACAAACGCTCGTTTTAAAGGGCATTTCATCCCCTATCTGATGACTATAAAAACTATTATAATTTATTTTATCTTCCATGCTTATTTTGCAATTTACTTTCACGCGATCGACTTGAAACTAAAATCCTCATATCTCCGGAACTAATTACGCTATCGACTCGCACAAACGCTCATTTTAAAGGGCATTTCATCCCCCATCTGATGACTATAAAAACTATTACAATTTATTTTATCTTCCATGTCTATTTTGCAATTTACTTTCACGCGATCGACTTGAAACTAAAATCCTCATATCTCCGGAACTAATTACGCTATCGACTCGCACAAACGCTCGTTTTAAAGGGCATTTCATCCTCTATCTAATAACCTTATCACCTACTATAATTTTTGCTATCTTCTATGTTTATTTTCACATTTACTTTGACGCTACATACCTAATGAAGTTTCAACAATTCCTTCTGATCACACGACTGTATATTATACGATATAATGCAAAAATTAGGCGATTAGAAATGATGTGACCGGTCATGGTAGGAATAGGTATACACGAAGTGTCGGTAGGTTTAGTGTTAAGGGCTACTTTTTCTTTTTATTAATAGTTTAACGTCGCATCAACTACATGGTTATTAGCGACATCGGCACAATTAATAATACTTATAATAACTTATTGAAAAGTCCAGTTTCTCTAAGAAATTAGAGTACGCTCCGCATTTTATGACCGACGAGGTTGTCTTCGAGCTCAGGTTCCAAACTATGTTGCATACGGGTCCTGTTCTATTTGGAGCAGTTTATCATGAGGTGTTCAATCGTCATTCTCTCAGAGCACTTATCACATATAGGTGCAGGGTCTCGTGACAGTAAGTAAGAGTGAGTCATTCTAGAATGTCCAATCCTTATGCGAGTAAATATCACTTGTTCCCTTCTTGGTGTCATTAATTTCCTTTCTTCAGTAGAGTGATAAAAAAAACTCACAGTAAATCTTTTAATATGAGAAGGAGCTTTACATATCCATTCCTCTTCCCATTTCATTTTTAGTTTCATTTTAATTTCTTTTAGCCCTGTTCCTTATAAAATCGATTGAAAACAAGTGCAAGGCTTAAATCTTCCGAGGAAATAATTCTTTTCCTTCGATGTTATTGTAAGAAGACGAAAAGAAACGCCTAATTCGCGGATAAGTTGATGAGGGGAGAATGTCCTGTGTCGTTTACAGGAGCATAGAGATGGAAAATTTGCACGGTGAAAATTGTAAAGTTACAACACAGTTAACACTCACCTTCGTCGCGCTCCTACTATCCTAGTAACATATTTAATATTACTTGATATTTACGTTAAATTATTAAATTAAACAATTTAGCGACCCGGTCGAAGGGTTTTCCATTGGCGTTAATGGGAGTGAGATGTATTTTTGCATCGATTTAGACAAATCAGAGCGTAAAGACGGCCTACGTAACGTGTCCAGAGAGAAATTTACACGGTTTACGTGAAAAAAATGGCGGTCAGCTAAGGAAATTGCGTGCAAAGTGGATTTTCTAGGCATGGAGGATCCTGGAGATTAGGCCTACGTTTTTCTGTTACGTTAATTTCGAAATAGTTCACGAAATTTCACGGTAGACCCGGGATTTAAGTTGCTGAAACCTTGGAAACTCTTGGAAAAGCACAGGCAATCATTATCGAGAGAAAATTGGCGGGGATTGAGGGTAATCGTTCCGGGTCAATACTCGAACTGATCGAAACGTGTAGTTCAGTAGGATCGATCTTCCTCAGCGACCTGTTTCCCTGCTACTCGAGCACCACTCAGCACACCCTCTGGATTTCCACAGAGCGTGCGTGTACAAGGGCATTTCTTTGTCCCTTTCAGAACGTACACCAGTGGTTCTCATCCAGCAATCTCAGTGGTTCCAATTTTAATACCTAAAAAAATAAAAATATGATTAATGGGTTTTAATATCATTTTATTCAAATTAAACTGTGAAATTGTGTCTCTCAGTATTACGAAAAATCAATCATAAAACGATCGACAAAATTTTCTCTAAATTTATAATTTATTTACTGTTATTTTGTTGGGTATTCTTGTTTTAAATATTATGTTTTCGATACTGTCATATTGTCCCTTAAGTACCCTTCAATCATAAAATGATCGACAAAATTTTGTCAAAAATTTATAATTTATTTACAGTTATTTTGTTGAATATTCTTGATGCTTCATGAATTATATTTATTTTAAATATTATATTTTTCGATACTCTGTTGTATTGTCTTTTACATACTCTTCAATTATAAAATGATCGACTAAATTTTGTCAAAAATTTATAATTTATTTACAGTTATTTTGTTGAATATTCTTGATGCTTCATGAATTGTATTTATTTTAAATATTATGTTTTCGATACTCTGTAGTATTGTCTTTTACATACTCTTCAATCATAAAATGATCGACAAAATTTTGTCTAAATTTATATTTTATATTCTTGTTGTTTCATGAATTATATTTATTTTAAATATTATATTTTCGATACTCTGTTGTTCGTCCTTCAAAATCTATCTTACAGCTCATTGTAAGTTTTCTTCGTAATATTGTTCGAAAATATATTTTTACACTGAGGCTTTTAATTAACAATTCTCTTTTTGAACATGATTTTCAACCGGGGGCGTAGCTCAGATGGTAGAGCGCTCGCTTAGCATGCGAGAGGTACCGGGATCGATACCCGGCGCCTCCAAAAAGTTGAAATATTACTTTTTTTTATTTATCAAGCAACAAAAAAATAT